TTATAATATTCATTGCAGAAAATACTCGTTCAACTGTTGCTGTAGCGATTGGCAATATCATAGCAAGCTTTATAAGTAAGAACACCAAAGGATAAATCTCATTTTTCCTAGTCTCCACCATTTTCTGAGCAAGTTCTCCAAGTCCTTTTAAATTCATAAATACATCATTCGATTTCATATCAACAATGAAATTCTCAATTTGATTGTCTAGTATAATGAGACCCATTTCTGAAAAATCTGACGGATAAAATTTTGCAAGACGTAACAATCGTTCTTTATTGAAAGCTGAAAATGACTGATATGGATTCAAACATGCCACACACATTAGTAATTATGTATTAATTTCATCAAACCTATTGTTGAGCTCTTGAAATTGCATATCTATAACAGTGTAAAATAATTCGATTTGATAATGATGCATATTTGTTATACTTTCAGTACGGCGTCTTGATCTTCCTCGCGTCAGAAATGTATCAGTCATGTTTGGAATACTTATGTTATTCTTCTCACAAAATAATCCAATTTCCTTAAATAAATTATCCCACCCATCATTTCTCATATTTAGAAGTCTTTGTTTTGAAACTTTGACCAAAGTCATGACATTTATAATGTCTTGATTATTCTTTTGTAGTACTTGGGATGACTCATTTGTAACTCCTAATATAGCATTCATCATATGCAAATTGAAAGCAAAATCAAAAGTTTGCATGAATTCAAGTAGGGAATATGCTTCGCCTTTTTGCTCACTACTAGATCCCTCGTGTATTAATATTTCAAGAACTTATATTATAGATCCATACAAAAGGATTAAACTGATAAGTGAATTGTAATGAGAACCCCAACGAATGTCTCCAGGCCTTTAAAGAGCGATTTCTTGATTTAAACCTCTACCTTTGGCAACTCCACTTTCTAGTTGCTTAAGTATCTTGTCATAATGTTTTCCTCTTAGCATATCTCTTCTTTTACTTGAACTATCAATAATATTTAACAAATAAGTCACATTATTAAAGAATGATGCAACTTGGACATGATTCTTTGCAACTGCAACTAATGCTAATTGAAGTTGGTGTGCAAAATAATGCACATAATAAGCCGAACAATTTTCTTTCATGATTAATGTTTTCAGTCCATTAAACTCAACTCGCATGTTACTAGCTCCATCGTAACTTTGACCACGTAGCTGTGCCACACTCAACCCATACTTTGAAAAAAGTGATTCAATAGCCAACTTTAGTATTAGAGCTGACGTGTCCCCAATATGAACAATCCCAATGAAACGCTCAACTGTTGCAGCTTTTGTGATTTCTTTCTGGATTTCTGGAGCAACTAGTTTATTATCTCCATGAGTGTTTTCTAAAACAACTTTATTTATATCTTCATTATGATTAACAAGAAAACGCAATAGTTCAAGAAAGTTCTCTTGATTTTCTGAGTCCTCAGATTCATCATGCCCACGAAATGCTAATCCTTGTTACAAAAGGAAACGTACACAATCAACACTTGCATTTAATCGTGTACGATAATCTTTGCGATTTTGGTCCGACGGTCTTTCAAAAGCAAACCTGATGTCGCTTTCTTGATTCATTAAGTCCTCACATTTACGTCTAGCACAGTTGTGTGCACTGTTGGTATTACCAACATGTATATGAAATCTATCCTTTTTTTTCCAATTTCTAAAACCCTTCGTGTCAAAACTATCACCGCTGGACTGATCACTATTTTGAGGTTTATATAGATAACAAAATAAACAATAAGCTGCATCTTTGCTTGTACTATATTCTAACCAAGATTTGTGTTCATCAAATCAAGCAGGATTAAATCTTCGTAATTTATCCCCAATTTTTGTGCGTGGGAAAACATGATCATGGGGTTGACACGGTCCTTTTAGCAAGTAATGTCTTCGAACACAATCCCTCTCATTAGGAAGAAAATCCATAATTTTTTTTCTCAAAGCAGGATCGGCAGGGATATTAGCTACATTTATTTGTATATAAACTTGTTGAATTTGTGTATTTCTTTCATCACATAAAAGTTTCTGGTCATCTTCTTCAAATTTTCTTTTAAAATATCATTCCATATCTAATTTTAATAAAAACTAATTAAAAAAAATTAATGCTTGCAACAAAAAAATTTAAATACTAGATTGCTAGTAAATTGATTAATAACTAAAAAAAATACCTGTCAATTGTTACAGATCAGTAGAAGTGTAGAACACTCGCAATTATTTGATTCTGGAAGAGTTCCTGAATGCAAAAATTATAAAATCAGTTCCCATCACAAGTTAACCTACATAAATCTATATATCAACAGAATTTCATTATATGTATTCCTTTTCCTGGCCCAAAATCAGCACAACTGAATACTTGTTGCACAAAAATCTCTACAAATGATGTATGATTGAATCAGTATGAATTTAATGCTTATTTTTTATCTAAATTCTATATGATTTTTGTATTAATAAATTAAAAATGATATATATATATATTTTTTCAAAAATTTTAAAATATCAATAAAGATTGCTCAATTAGTTCAAAAAATTTCCTGAATGCTGAAAAATTTGATATCAATTCTAAAATTAACTCCTAGATGCATTGCGAATAGGAACGGTCTAGGTAAAAAATTTTGCTGGCCATGGGAGTCCTCCCTGCTCTTAAACTTTCCTATGAAATTTTCCATGAAAATGTAGAGAAAAATCTAATAGTAATACCTTTTGATTCCTCAAATCTATCAAACAGGAGGAATAGCCAAGCAGGTCCACGCGAAGTCGCGAAGTATGCCGCTGGCCCGCTACCCGCAGTCTCCGTCCAGGCGTCCTTCGCCGCTTCGCGCTTCTTCTGCCGTCCGGTCGCAAGCCAGCGGAACAGCGCTTCTTCCGCCGTCCTTCGCCGCTTCGCGCTTCTTCCGTCCAATCCGCCGTCCAGAAGGATATCAATCGGCGAGATCGCGTTTTGCCCTTTGGGTTCCTTCGCAGTCGCAGACTTGCAGATACTCCGCCGAAATTAGAGAAGTGAAAAGCCAGCGGCCAGCGGAATATTATTCCAAAAAAACCTAAAATCTGCTCTTAATGATAATTAGGTAAGTAATAACTAGCTTTAATAAAACATTAATTAAATATTTTAGTGGGGGCCCATGCCCCTAGGGCCCCCAGCATGTATCCGCCGCTGCTTAACATGACACAATAGAGAAAAAAAATTCATGCAGCCGACCCCACGTAGTGGGACAAAGTCTTGATGTTGTTGTAATAAATTTATCTAATTTATGGAGATAACTAAACAATTAACCTGAAGTAACTATTTTTGTAAAATAATCAAGAATCAATAACTTCTTCATATCTTCTACTCTTCTTCCTTCCACCTGCAGTAAAGCACATTGAAAAAATATTTACTCCCTTGACAATTGTCGGATTGGATTCATCTTTTCTTTGTCTCTTGGATTTTTTTTCCCTTTGAATGTAAGAGGGGAAACTGAGGAAGTCACGACAAGAGCTTACCGATGAAGGTAGCCATCGATCTTTCTCTCCCCTCTTGCACTCATATGTTGGCTAAATTTCATAAATCCACCGGACTTTTGGATTTAGTAAATTTGAGATTCACAACAAAACATGGTTGAAAATAATGGGAGGTTTATTCTGCTCGAGACCGATTGCCAAATAACCCCTAAATGAGCATGCACTTCAATAAATCTGAAAGTGGTATCTAACTACTTCAACATCAATTAATCAGGTGTCAATTTCAAATAATAATAAATAAGTCACATATAAAATTTCTTTCCTAACAACATAAATAAATACCATCAAACTTATTCATTAAAATAGAGGAATAAGAATGGATAACACCAAATCAATATAGTGATTCATTAATAATAAAGTAATTATTTGAAATAAAAAAACTAAAAAATAAATATAAAGTTACTATTAAATAAATAATTAATCTAGTTATATTTAACAAAAAATTAATTAAATAATATCATCAAGCTTAATATCAGGCCTTTATCAAATTATTTATTAAACAATAAACAAACTAATTCATGAACATAGATAAAAGAGTTAAGCTATGTTCAAGTGAGATTCTTTTTATCATTCATTTAAACTTCGAATTTTTATGAAGATTTCAAACTCGTTTAATTATTAACTTAAATGAACTTGATCGGATATTAATTGAGCAGACTTTTTGAATTATACATTTAGTGCATTGGTTCACTTATGACCCTCTTCACATCCATGACAGATATGTGGCCATGTGGGCTATATAATTGCATTTAGATGACTTGAGTTGTGTTTTATGTGTCGAAGATCTGAGGGTGAAGAACTGGGCCATTGAGATTTGGTTGGGCTCGTTTAAGTTTTTTTTTTTTTTTTTAATTAAAAAAAAAAGCAAGGGGCTGGGCTATTATGATGGGCATCTGGGTTAACTTGAGATAAGGCAGGAGCTGATGTTAGACAACATCGAGGTGAAGAACATGAAGGATAGGAAGATTTGCCCTTTCATGTTGTGGCACATAGTCATCTTTCATATTTTCTAGGAGTCTAAAGAATCAAGTGCTTGGAATGATGATGGGCACTAAATTGCCAGGGTTGCACCATGCAAACTAGATGGTCTCTTCAAGGTGACGTTTGGAAATCTACATAGTCTTTATAACTAGTTTTTTAGTCAAAAGGGGATTGAATCATTCTCAAATAGTTTAAGCTGGTGGTTTAAAGTGGTTCGAGTCTATGGCCAAGAGAAGCAAGTGGGTGGGTCTCGACTATTGCTTCCTCTTTGATTATAGTAGACTTATTAAAAGAGCATTAAGATGTCAGTATTCCACTTCTGAGAGAAAAAAATGATTCGTTCCTTGAACTTCCTCATCGCCAACTCCTTGCCTTGACATTAATGACACTTGTTGCCACCTAAAGGCCAAGCCGACATGCTCATTGTAGCCATTTATCTCTTCGCATCGACTTGCATGAGCTCATGGTGGCATCAGTCCCAAATCCAACTAGTACGATAAGTCTTTTGGCTCTTTCTATCAAGATGCATGTCAAGCCCACACAATGCAACTTGTAGCCATCTGATAGACATCTTTACCATCAACTTCAGTGTTTATTCATCAAGTTATTTTTTCTATATGCTCTTTATTTATATTACAGTCTGGTCTAGACATGGGTAGTGTGCAACCCTCCTCGAGAGAACTCCCCATAATTTGAATCAAACTATAATACCATTAGCTTAGACAACTAATTGGAGTGTTAAGGTTTCCCCTAGAGCTCTTGCCTTGGGAAAATGTTGTCTTTCTTTTTGAACTGTTTGTTTGCAAGGAGCTTTCTGGTAGGGATGTGTAAAGGGAAACTTTTCTGGGCAATGGGAATATGAAGTGCAACTATGATGATAGGAAAAAGTTGTGGTACAAGCAATTCTACCTCTTATATTCATGTGCTTGTATGCATACATGTAGGAATTCATCAATATAAAGTTTTTTAGTTCATTTATCCATTGCATTAAGCATGTACTTATTTATACTGTTATGTTTATAATAAAAAAACAACATTCACTCTCATTTATATTGGTGAAGTGCTATTTATGATATTTGAATGTTGTGTGTGTTTGGGAAGGATTCACTTACTAGCGATGATGATTTTTCAATATATTTTGTTCACAAAGTAAGGTTAGCCTTTGGAGGATTTATGTTCTTCAAATCATGTTATTATCCCCCTTGTATCTTTGAATTCCTTATCAGTGATTTAAGTAATCTAACTCGTTTCTTTAATTGGTCTTAAATATGTTGCAGAACAGATGAACCTGTGTGGAAATCAGTAAGTAGCTTTTGCAACTTTTTTGGTTCCATTTTAGTTCTCATTCTTTTAAATGAAAAAGTCATCTATCACGCGTTTTCTTTTTAATTAGCGAAGTAGAATATATTAAAAAATGAAAGCAGTATAGAAAATTTGCCATACAATATCTGGCTCATTTATTTCATTTTTTTGTCTTTCCCATACCATTTACTTAGCAAAGTGCATTTCATTCACTCAACTGTGAACTGTTTTATTTTTAAGAAGCTGCGGTAGGTGCTGAATTTTAAAGGCATGATTTTCTTAGTAGAACCAGGGGAGAGGTGGATCCAAAAATAAATGATTTTTTTTGTCTTCTCATGGAGAACTGAAGATTTCCATCTTGGAAGATTTTCATTTTAGAAGATTTCTTTAGTTGATATATACTCTCTTACTTACTGGTCTCAGAAATGGTTACATGAAGAGTCGGATTATGAGATAAGGGAAGCTTTTGGTCTTGTTTGTTCCATTAAATAATAATAATTAGGCTAAGAACCGAGGAATATGCAACAAGGCAGTAGAAACGCTTAATGCCTGTCCCATGAATCTTAAATACCTAAGTGAACATCAAACCCGATTTTATCGTCTGCAGCACGGAATGATGATTTATATTTCCATGCTTCAATCTTCATATCTTCCAATTTGAATTTATATTGGATTCTACAGTCGTAATTAGCCTATCAACTATTAAGTTCCTTAGGTATTGTTGTTATAATTAAAGAAGTCACGTTCTAAGCCATTTTAAATTTTCCTGTAATTTATTATGTAGGAAAAGAAAGTTATTTTGGAGAGGGATGGACCCCATATTGCACGCATATCTGTGTTTGAGGTATGTTGCGAGCCATTAATGTTGAAATGGTTAAATGTTCTTGAACAAACTTTGTTTTTATATTCCACAGAACATCTATTCTTTATTTGATGGTCCTTGCCGATTTTTTTTTTTTAATTTTTGGATTAACCAATTTTGATTGTTGTTTACACTTGTATTGCCATCTACTAGCACTTGCTAGGAATGCCGATATAATTATAAATATTTTCCTTTCATTGTATAATGTTTTTTTTAAGCTTTCTAATCTATGCTACATCCATGGACCTAACCTTGCAGATTTTTTTAAGCATTTCTTTGATGTTGTCATCTCTTCATTCTCTGAAGTAGTGTCATAGTTCCATTAGTACTTTTTCACTGTTGAAAATCATTATGTTTTGCAGACAAATAAATTGTCGAGAAACACTCTGGTCGGCTATTGTGAAATTAATCTCTTGGAAGCTCTCCGCTTGGTAAATATGCTGGACACTTCCTGATATTTTTTCTTGTTGGTATAAGTTCCGATCTTTTTGGTTAGCGTTTAATCTGGTTGGGACTTTTTATCATCATGGTATGGCGTACTTATACTCTTCGTTTTCTTTAGTTTTTGTTTGGAGTTACATGCAAAATTATAGATCCTATATAAATACAATCAGTTGGAATGTTCATTCCCTTCTTGCTGTCCAAACCTTGAATTGGTTTGAATTATAAGTCTTTATGTTTACCTCATTCTTTGTGCCTTTATGGTTTATGGTTTGAGTGAGAAGTCTCAGCTTTTCATCATCCTAAATTAATTCTATTATTAATTATTTCCTACATTGAGTTGGATTTCATTTCACCTAGATTCTCTATTTGTGGGTGTTTTAACTTGTGAAGTGTGTAAAATTTATGGATACTTTGAAGACTTTTAAATTTTCACGAAGATGGGATTTTAGGGGTTGCAAACTGGATATTGTGGTTTAATTCGCTCATGAATCATTCATGTTTAGATATCATCAGGCTAACTCCTTTACAGGCATCTGACTTCCAGGCTTGCTGGCTTGGCTCCAGGTGAAAATGTTGAGTTGGATCCCACCTTAAAAGTCAGTGAAAACCTTGTTAAGGCTCGGTTGTTTGGAGCTTTTACTAATATACCACGAGTACAACCTACTTGGATGCTCTGTTATCTGTTACTGCTCCTAACTAGCACTTGTATATTTTTAATCCTTTTTGAAATCAAAGGATAAAATGCATCACTTTCGTTATAGAAGATAAATACATGAAAAAAAAGAGTTTTAATAGGACTAAATGTTGAAAGAAGGGTAGGAGCCACAAGTCAATCAATTTTGGTTTTTATTTTATTTTATTTTTTGTAACCGTTAGGAGCTACCGCAAGCTGAATAACCTCTCCTGCTCCTTTCTACACACGAAAACGGGCCTCTGCTCATTCTGTTTCATCAAAAGGCCCTTTGAATACATCTCTAAACATGGATAGCACTCGACCAAAGCGCTTGGCAATGGCAGATTTTAGTTCTCAAGGAAATTGAAACTATTGATGCAATTTCTACATTTAGCAAGATTATTTGAATTGCTAACAAGGTCAAATGGATTTTAATGGGATTAAATTGAGCTGAATCGGGAGAATTTTTTCTTCTTATTCTTCTATTGCGTTCTTCTCCTTATATTGGAGGCATTCAACTATCGTAGATAGGCGACATTCTTCTATCAAGCTTCAGTGCCCCTCTCTTGTGTAGAAGGAGATTTTTTTCTTCTTATTCTTCTTTTGTGTTCTTCTTTTTACATTAGAGACATTCCACTGTCGTAGATAGTCAGCATTCCTCTATCAAGTTTCAGTGCCCCTCTCTTGGAGATTTTTTCCTTCTTATTCTTCTCTTGCAAACTTCTTCTTACATTGGAGGTATTCCACTGTCAGAGACAGACGACATTCCCCTATCAAGATTTAGTGCCCCTCTTGTGTTGAAGGAGTCACGATTAGAAGCTATCTTCTTAAAAGATGATCTTTGATAGAAGAAGATCAATTCTTGCTTGTATGTGAGGGTGATTTGAGAATATCTGACGGTAATAATGTCTGAGAGGAGAACCAGGAATGATGAGTTGAAGGGCGAATTTCAATGCCATTTGAGCGAAAGTTTATTGGCAGTCAACGACCAGTATAAAGCTGGAGGAGATAGTTCGAGGGTGTGCTACAAGTAGCAGTCGAACGAGAAGTCGATGATGGCTGATATGAAGTGGACTGCTAACAGATATCAGACGAATAGCTGATGATGGCAAGAGTCCAGTGGTATTTTGCTGATGCAATATGCATCCATACTGAAGTGTACTGACATCAGATATCCCTGAGTCAAGGGGCCGGAGCAGTGTGCTATGCTGACATTTTGGCAACATAATAATATTATTAACTTAGTAGAGGTCTAATGATGATCAGGCTATGTCCTTTCAAAGAAGTTGTAGAGAAGAAGTCACTTAAATTCACCAAGGATATTTGACTGTCTTGAAGTTACTTGTTGCTTGATAATAGTAGCTTGTATAATAAATGTCAATGTACTATTTAATTTCAACTTCCAGTGAGAATAAATATACATCTGAATTTGAATTTATATAACTTCATTGATATTATATATGAAGTTGAGAACCTGTCTCTTGTGTAGGAGGAATCAACATCAATTTGAGCCAAATTAGGCCCGACTCGGCTGATATGCATTGATCGAGGTTGATCTAACGTAGTTGAGTCAAGTTCGACTCGATCATAGTCAATTTGAATTTTGTATGATTTAATTGAGGCAATTTAATGAAATCAAGTTCAAATTGCAATGAGTTGTTTTTTAGCTATAAGCCATACGATGTCAATATCTACTTAATAAATAGCATGGTGTACAAGGCTGTTTTGCACTGTATATTTGAGGACTCATGATGTTGTGGTTAAAACTTTGTCTAGAATTAGGTATGTAACTAATTTAAGGAAAATATGGTATGTTTGAGTGCTCATAGTAATTGAGGATTTATATCTGTTGATGATACTAAGGTAGTCTTAGTTTTGTAAGGGTACTTTGGTAATCATTAGGGCTAGAAGGGTTGATGGGCTTTATATATTGCAGGGTCCAAGAGTTGCTTAATTTATATCTTCATCTATGTTAGAGTAACATTGGATTTGCTTTGGGGCGCAACAATTATGCTGTAGATGTCTTTAATGGGTGTTTAGTCGGGACATCATCTAGGCTTTATAAGATTGTGTAGTGCTAATTTTATTAGGGTTTTGAGAGCTTACAATATTTTGCATGTAGAGGAGTCACAAAGTAGATCTATATTATTGCTTAGAATATTGACTCAAGTGGAAGGATGTCACGACCCTGCCCGGTGAGCTCGGGTAGGCGAGGCCGGAACGGAGGTCGGACGGTAGGCTAAATTATCTAATTTCTAAAACTACCACCTTATCATTTGAAAGAGTCTCTAAAACATCAAATTTGAAATCACATAAACATATAATCAAGCATAATCATAAAATTACCTTTCCTCAGGTGCTCCTCTTCAAAATAAACATTGCCACCCCTTCTACTCATTTGATTTACTTAAACTTACCTTAAAAATGTTAACAACTAACATTAAGCCAAAGCTCAATAAGTAAAACATAATTCTAAACTACAGTAATCAAGGCAAACTGCATAATATGCTGGATGTCAATTTCATTAAAACATAACATAAAATGATTTTCTAAAAACATGCAATTAAACATATCATATCATAAAATCATATCTTTAATTTTCATTTTCATATTCATATTAATATACTTAGCTTTCTCATTTTATATATATTACATCCGTCACATGGGCCACAGTCTAGTATCATATAGGTACTCCTTTACCATTTCCTTTTCCATATTCTTTACCATTTTAACGTGCACGAGTACAATGCCCCCAGCTAGTACCATAAGGGGGTGAGCTCCATCATTTTAGCATGCACATACAAGCATTCAATATAACATTCATATCATCTCATATCATTTTATTTCATATAACACAAACTTTATCATATAATGCCATAAAATATAACATGAAATTTGCATGATCAACCATTTAAAAAGAATAAAAAAGCATGATTGGTCTATCAGATCATATAATTTGAAAGAAACAAAAGACATTACTGTAATTAAAGAACCATGCATACTTACAGAAATTTTGAAATTGATTCTCCTCGCTAATCCTTCTTCCTTCGAGATTTTTTCAAAACACCTAAAAGAGTTAATTTCTCCTTCAAAATCATTTATAATAAATCTAAATTAATGTTCTCATTCTATTCCTAATCTATCCTAAGTTCTTTCTCTCCCTCTCCCTTTCCCTCTCTCCAAAAGATCACATAAAGCAAAATACATTCTAAAAATGCTTTTTTTGTATAATTACTTATTTTAAACAAAATGACCCTTTTTTCATAACTTAAATTAATTTAAAATAACTTATATTTTCGGGTTTAAAATAATTAGAAAATAGGAAAATACATTTTGTAAGAAAAAAACTCAATTTCTTCCCTTAGAAACTATCTTAGGACCCTTAGGAACCAAGTTTATAAAAGTAATTTCAAAATTTCTAACTTTAGGGAAAATCCTAAATTTCTCCAACTCAAAACTTCTAAAGAAAATCACATTTCTATGCATAAAAATATCTCCTAAACCTTTCCTACACATCTTCTAAAGAAAATGAGAAGTTTCTAGCAAACCCAAACTTTTTCATCTAAAAAATCCAAGGGAAAGATAGGGATTTCTAGGTTTAGAAATGTACCTTAGTGCTCCTTGAATCTCCCTCTTCAATTTCCCCCATGTCCGGCTGCCGGAAACCGCCGCCGGAGCCGCCGCCGAAGATGCCGTCCAAGCCTTGCGTCTGCCCCTTCTCCCTTCGGCCTCACGTTTGGCCGCACGAATCGAATGAGGGACCGAATTCTAGAATTCCGTCCCTTAAAGCTTCGGTTGCTTAGAGATTTTGCAATTGACCATTTTATCCTCACTTAAAATATATTTTCTTTAGTATTGACTAAGGTTATTTTGGGTATTATTAGACTTCAGAAATTTTTATCTCTCAAATTAAGAGAAATTAAATATAAGTTTTATATTTTAAATTTCTTAGAATTTTGCGTAGAATTTTATAACATTAATTTCGTCAAATTTCGCCGACTTTGAAATTTTCACTTAAATCTCGTCGCGACTCATCGAAAAGCGTGCGAGGTCTAAAACGGCATTTTTTGAGTTTTACAAAGGAATTGTTAATTTTGACTGAATTTGTTTGGATGGTTTGTGTAATACGTATTGCGCAAGATCTAAATAATCATTGCACAATTCCTTATTCATGGATGATTGATTGGGTGATTCAGAAGCAAAGTAAATTCTCTTCCTTGAGATGCTTGCTCATAGCCATGCATACAAGATCTTCTTAGGATTAGAGCATAGTAGCAACCTCAAGAATCACGCTCAGGTAAGTTCCTCGGGGCACATGTGATGGAAACTTTTTGGTATGTGTGTGAATTCCTTCTTAGTTGGCGTGCACATGTTTGAGAACTTTAATGAAGATATATCTTAATTTCCACATCATTGTTAGTGATCCTCGGTTTTATGCCCTTACAACAATTAAGGTATTTAAAAGATTGGTGGCTTTAACATACCCTTTGGTTAGGGTTTCATGGTGAATGCAAGGAAAATATTATCTTTGAGAGGTAAATTTATTATGAGGGTTTATTGGATTTTTTCTTAGATTGACTTTGGGTGTATTTGAGTTATAAGAAGGGTTGGAGCGTATCCTTTCTTATACATTACTTTTGTGGCTACTTTGGTTTGTGATGAGGGTCCTCTCAACAATTATGTGGATAAATTGAACCGCATAAATCTTATTTTCTTTTCTTTGTGTGTTGCTTGATCTCTTTTTTGCTTTACTTTTTATTTTGTTGTTGAATTGTACTTCACTATTGAGAAGGTAATTTTGAATTGTTATTTTTTGACATTCTCATAATGATATTTTTGAGGCAGTAAACTTTTTGCTCGTATTAACTTCAAGTTCGATTTTCTAGTTCATCCGCTTGGTGTTTTGTTACTTTCAAGTACTTCTCTACTTGTTTAAATCTCATTTCAGGTTACAATCCTTCAAACTATATCTAATTTTTTTCTTTCAATTTTTTCAGCATGCTAGAATTGCAGTATACTATTGAGAAATAGAAATTGCTTATTCTTATAGTTGCATTTGTTGTTTATCCACTTTATTAATGTATGGAATCCTCAAGTTCATGGTTCATAAATATGTGAAGCTTTGATGCAGTCTCCTTTTTCAGTCGTATAGATTGTTTGGTATCCACTGGGGTTGGTAATAGTTTTATGTATTAAACTTTGGAGCCATACTACTGCTGCTTAAAATATGCCGGCCCTTGGAAAATATGGGATATTATTTCACCAAATTTTTATTGAGGTATGATTTGAAATAAAATGGCAAATTTTTTGTGACACCTGATTGATCATGACCAGTTTGCGCTCAAATCCTATGGCTTCCGTTTTTGTGAAAAGGGCAATTGATATGAATTAATCTTTTGCTTGCGTCATTTCTCTCTTTAATATTTTTTCATTGTCTCCTTTTAGGTGATTTTTTGTGAAGAAGCCAATGTTTGTTTTCAGTTAATTCACATTTAATGTCCACAGGGAACTGAGAAAAACGTTACATTATTTGACTTGTTTGATCCATCATCACCCAGTACTGTAGTTGGCAAGTTGTCTATTTCGTGTAATATGGAGGTATTTATGATTTCGCATAACTCACATTGTTAATTTTTTTTTGGGTTAAATTTCAAAATAGTTCCCCGACTATTCATATATGATTATTTTAGTCCTAGAGTATGACGTTGTTCCAATTTAATTCCTTGATGATGTAAAATTGTTCTAATGTGATCAACCTTTGGGATTAAATTGGATCAATTTTGTAAAGTTGAGGGACTAAATTAGGATTGATTGTATATCACAATTACAACATGAGGGACAATTTTTTATCAATTTTATATAGTCAAGGGACTAAATTGGGGCAATATTATATTTTGGGACTAAATTGACTATACAAGAATATTCTGGGGACTATTTTGAGAATTTTCTCAATTTTCTTTTATTGGTATCAATGCTTAATGCTGTTTATCACGTGATTTTCAAGTTTTATACAATTTGTTTCCAACCTACTGCAGGATCCAATTGAAATTGAGAAAAGCTTTGCACGTCGTGTTCTAGCTTTGGTGGTATGTTCTTCTTTATTTATCTGCATATCCCCATCCTTAACAACCTTTTGTATACCCCACGCCATGAATCTTTACTATGATTGCACTTTAACTGTTAATTCACAATAATCAAATGTTTTATCAAACTATTGAAAAGGGAATGTTGCATGTTAACATCATTTATTCTTGCAAAATTAATATATTTTAAAGTAATAGAGAATAGGTAGCTTAATTGTGTAAAATGTTTTTCTTGATGTTGATTGTTCATGTTTGAAATAAATAAACGGGCATATTTAATATCAATAAATATTGTCAATTTGTAGTTTCATACTACTTCGAAGTATTATAAACAAGCAACGACTTTTATTTGATTATTAAATGAAATTAAAACTAAAAATACTATACAGTTTTTTATTGTCAACCTCACAATATCATATTTAAAACTTAAAACTAATAACTTGAAATTTTTTTGTTAAGTATTATCAAGGATATTTTTCTGTTATGTAAGTGTGATGCAATTTCCCCTAAGTGCATGGTCATTAGAAATGCAAGCATGCAATTTTGTTTTTCTATAAAATGCCAAACGTGATTTGGTTTATTTGGAAACAGTATGTTACGCTTAAAATTACAAGATCCAACCGATGCGAGATATGCCCTTTTTGGCAATTTCTTTTTCTTTGGTTTGTGAATACCTAAAGCATAAGTGTTTCTTAGTTTTCCTGTTAGGGAGTCCGAAGTGGGAGCTGGTGGAAGTCGGACGTTCTAGCTAATTAGTGGTACATTAAAGTAGGGAAGCCATTTTGGATGGGAAAGTTACTTATAATGATCTTTTGGTTTCTCATTTGTTCCTACTTACTCTACTGTCTATGATAGATGGTGTAATTTTCCCACATTAATTCACTTCGTACACCACCAAATACAACCAAACAACTGGTGACTTCACTAACAACTTTTCCAACTCCTACTTCAAGTACCAGGGTGTCCAATGGTCTCCGTGCAACTCTAGAGGCCCTTAGTTGGAAGCAAAGGAAAACAAAACAGCTATTCAATTTTCTCAGTGTGTCCAATCCCAAACTGGAATTTTCAATTGTTGAGTACTGAGCATTTGGCCTTCTTGTGTTTTATTCATCTTTTTCTGTGAGAATAGCCTGCCGAAAATAAGTTTGCATCAAATACTAAAGTTTTTATCTACATGTTGCATCAAGAAAGGAATTGTCCTCTCCAAAAGATTTCCGTTCTATCTAGATTTATGTTCAGCATCAATGATGTGATTGATTAAGAAAATTTTCATGCTTTTCTAGTGATTTTTATATGGAGAATATTTTGGTTTGTCTTTATATTCAGATTTATTTAATTTTCTTTTTTATTTGTTTGTAATTTCCATGGAATTCATTTCACTATAATTAGGATGGTTATGATGTGGATTATTGATGATTGAATGAAAATGAGAATTGAATTTCCTCTGTAGTTGCCAACTACTTTCAGTCTCTCACTTCTCTTATTATCTTCTCCCCTGACTTTCTTATTCTTCTCGCTCTCTCTCATTCTCTCTCTCTCTCTCTCTCTCTCTCTCTCTCTCTCTCTCTCTATCTCCTTAACTTGCTTCCTCTTGTTTTTCCATATATTTTTAGCAAGTTTCAATTTCAACCCATCATAAGCTTCTCTCCACATATCATGATAAACCCGCTCCTTTTTTTCTTTATGATGAATTCCTTGTGTTCACATCTTTTTTTTTTTTTCACTATTGCTAGCAAGTTTTCCCGGGGTTGTCCCAGTCTTTAAATTGTTCATAGATTCATGCTTGATTTGCCATTGATTGGGGATTTTTTCGTTGGACTTCTTGATTCTCATCTTATTTTTATCATATTATCTCTAGAAGTTGTTTATTCAAGTTTTTTCTCAAGGAGATCATACTATGTTGATGGTTTTTCAACGAGCATGCTTAAATGGTAGTTTTTCTTTGATTGTTTTGAAGAACCTTCAGACATATTGATTCAACCAATCCACACTATTTTCTCTTGTTTCTATTTTTAGAAAATTGCTTCAAGTCGATGCTACTGTTGCTAAGCTTGCTAGGCTATTAGCAGCTAGGGTGGTAGAAATAAATGTTGTGTTGACCTGCGTGATTAAAAAAAAAAATCAAAATAAAAAAAGAAGTCGTTCACCTGCTCTCTGCCGAAGCCATCCCGCACGTCGTTGAAGCAGGTCGCACGTTGCTCGCACACCGACGTCTTATCTCCCCACGTCGCACGATCCGCTCGCGCCGATAAAAGAGAAATGGAACGAGGCCTTCGACCTCCTCTTCGAAGCTCTCGCTCGCGCTCTCTCTCGCTCGCTGTGAAGGAAACTTTCTCCCTTTCATCGCATCTTCAGCTCCTTGGTCGCTGTTCGACTACGCTCCATCAGCTACTTTCCCTTCCCGACCGAGTGAAAGTTACGACACTTTGGTCGGAAGCAACAATCAGAGGCGACCTCCTCCTATTCGCACGCTTCTTCGATCCTCCGTGGATGTGCGACCTCGCTCCCAGCGACGACTTTACTTCCTGTCGGGACGAAAGTTACGACATTTTGGCGGAAGCAATAACGGAAGCCTGCTCGCTATAAGAGGAACTTTCTCCACTTCGTGCGCTTCCTTGGCCCCGTCGTTGTTGTCCGACCCGCGCCTTCAATGACCTTCCCATCCTGTTGAATCGGAAGTTCCGACATTTTAGATCGGAAGCCACAGCGTGAGCTCGTGGCTGTGAAGTTAACGATTTCCCTTTTCGTCGCTTCTTCAATCTCGGTCTACTTCGCTCCTTTCACGACTTCCCTTGTGGATCGGAAGGTACCACATTTTGATCAGAGGCGACGATGGAAACTTGCTCACTGTGAAGGTAATTTCTCCCTCCCGCGAGCTTCTTCGGCCAAATCCCGTAAATCCACCGAATCAAGGAATAAAATATAAATATATTTTTACAATCAATTATGATTAATTAATTCTTTTTTTAATTAGTTATCTTTAATGGTAATTAGTCATAATTAATTAAATTTAATAATTATTAGTTATAATTAATTAATATTAATTTAATTAAAAAAAGAGGAAAGTTGCTCGCCTCTTCACCCGCCTCGATTCACGAGCCTTCACCATCGATCCGCCGAACCTGAAGGTATAATCTCTAAACTCAGATTTCCTTCCTCGACGCTCGCAATGGCTAGTAAACCTCTTATGCGCTCACGTAGCGTAGTAGGGAGGGAAGCCAGTGCGCCGCCTACGACGAGGCGGACAATCACCTAAAATCTTATCCTCGATGCTTGCGACGAGCCGGCAACCCCCTACGTGCTCACGTAGCGTTGTAGGGAGGGAAACCGGCACGACGCTAGCGGCGAGGTGGGTAATCCCCGGACTGCTCATGTAGCGTGAGGGGGACGAAATTAAGTTCCCACACATGGGGAAATACTTGTGCTCTCTTTTCAACAGGTACCCAAGACCCTTAAACGCTCACGTAGTGGGCGGGGATTAAAGAAAATGAGGTCACGGTGTTGTTAGACACCTACCCGAAGCGCTCAAGTAGCGACTAGTGGAAGGCTAGTCTCTCACATTTTTCCCCTAAACGGGGGAGACGCCGGGAGGTTGCCGAAATTCAGACTGAAGACACCGTGGACTTGAGTAGAATTTTGGCCTACATGTGAATAAATTTTGAACAAATGAGGACATGCCTTGGACTTAAATGAACAAAAATGGCTTAATTTCAAATATGAATAATAAAGTTAAAGGTTTAAAGCAAAACTTGACCAAGAAAAAATTGAACCTGATTGAGCACAAGACTTGAACCAATCTTGGGAATACATAAGAACTTGATTTGAATACAGTCACAAAGATTTAAATGAACATAAAGGGCTTGAAGTCAAAAAAGCTCAGTGCAAGAAGTCCTAACTTGGACTTGAACTCACGTGCTGGATTGAACCTGAATTGGAGAAAATCACAATGAGCTACATAAAAAACTTGCAAACTGGAACCTGAACCGAATGAGGCTAAAAGGAATTTGAGCTTGAACCACTTGAACAAGAGCTTACAATTTGTATAAAATGGAAGACTTGTGGACTCAAGTCCAAATGAGTACAAAGAACATGATCTTGCACATTAAGCTCAAGCTGAATTCAAACTTCAAGTGAGCCTAAAGAACTGAACCCAATTTAAACTCAATCGAATTGCAAGAAGCTTGAATTTCCAACGACATCATAAGACTTGCCTACTTCCCTATTTCGGTTGGGTTACATCAAGGATCAGCCTTAAGCCCATATCTTTTTGCTTTAGTCATGGATGTTCTCACTAGACATTTGCAAGACAAGAGCAATGAGCATGTCAATAATAGTACAACCAATGGAATATGCATGAGTTGTAGCGAGAATCATGTGGCAATATGTTCACAAGCAAAGCAAGGGAGATGTAGGAGAAGCAGATCCTTTGTTATCTATGCAGGCTAATGTGTAAAGGAACACACAAGAGTCTACTTTCAAATGAGAAGAAGATGAGGGATATTATGACATCCTCTTAAACAACATCGAGGTACAAGCAGGCACACTACAAGACCTCATTGCGTATAAACAAAGAATGTAGTGGACTCTTACAACAGTCCCTACGAGATCAAGAGCATCGTACCTGCAAGAACAATAAATAGTTGCAGAATGCATATGTGTGCGCCAAATGCATTATTGAAACCTCCAACACTAGCAGCTTTGCCTGTAGATTGAGATGACGATACTAGCACTCGATGGTGGAAGACCCGTCCCTACAAACAAGTAAAATCATCAAACCACCTGAGATTGGTGAAAGGTAGATATGATGTAGGGATAATGGCTCTTCTATGGATATCTCCAGGAGGTTGTAGTGGATACATCAGTCCACTGCAAATGAATAATTGTGGATAACAACAATGAGTACCTCGTAAGCACAACGAACAAGTACAAATGTCACCTAGGACAATGGTGATTAAAATCTACGAGTACGTTGGGTATAAGGGCGACTCGATGTACGGAGAATA